TGTAAATCGATGAGTCCGCTGAGAATTTGGGGGGGTTTTTTTAACACTTTTGCTACGGAAAGCAAACCTGGGGACTGACTGTTGGATTTACAGCAAAAGAGTAAATCGTGTTTTTCTGGCGCATGCCCTTAACCTGCATCTGGTCGCGTAACCCCCTCCTTCTCCCCTTTCTAATTTGCACTAATGTTAGGGACTTTTTTAAAAAAAAAACAACCCACCCCACAAACCATGATGTCAAACCTCTCTGGTAGCCATAACGTGCCAAATAGCTCTCGCAGGAATAGTTGACGGCACTGAGCGTCTCTCGAGGGATGCTGTACAGAAAGCGGGGGGGGTGGAGGGAGAGGCAGAAGTAAAGAGGATTTTATTTTGCAAATCGGTTTTGCAGCAGTGCCGGTGAAACCGGGACCGGGACCGGCTCCGTTATCACCATTACACCTGGAGAAACCTCTTTCCTCCTGGGCTAAACCAGCAATATCAATTTTATACCTCAATGTGAACTAAAACTCTGACTTTCTCCCTCCCTTGAGTTTTCGCAATGTATCTTTGTAATTTTTTTTTTTTAAATTTTAATTTTAATGGTACCTTTTCCACCTTTAACGTGTGTTAGAGAAAGCATTGTACAGCGAGAAAAAGCTTTTTATGTATTTGAAGGATGACTGTGGCATTGCTTCGTTGATTAACAAGAAACCAAAATATGTACCGACTTAATACAGAATGAAAACCCCGAGTCTGAGCCTGGTTTGTTCCAAAGAAAGCACTTTGTGGATAGAAATGCCACTGAAATGGGCTCCACGTGGGCTGGGAGAAGAGCAAAACCTGCCTGAATCCCGGCAGTGAAGTTTCCCAAGGAGAAATGCTCCTGCCCGGCAGATTTGGAGACTCGCAGTTAAATTGCTAAAGGATTTTTGGGGGGCTGTTGTCAGGTTTATCCAGCCATTTATCCCCAAGCACTGTGGCCGGCAGGCTCCGTCCTCTGGATATTTCCCTTCCAGAAGGTAAAACTCCCCTCTAGAAGAAAACCTCCGCATTGCTTAGTCTTGTTTTATACCCAGCGAGTTTTTAGACTTGATATAATCAGGTTTTTTTTTCTCCTCCTCAAGGCTGAGCTCGCTGCATCCCCCAGGTTATCCCTCTGCTTCCTCCCTGAAGCTCCCGGCCCTGCGTTATCCAGCCCGTCGAAGCCCATTTATCCCTCCCCGCGCAGGAGGGGGGTACGAGTGACGTTGGCTCCGCGTACCGGAGCTTTATCCGCCGGGAAAAGTCTGATGTGAGTCAAGCCCAGCGGGCGCAGACGGGAAGAGCCATCACCGGCGCGGCCCCGGGTGCGCGGGTAAGGGCGGCATCCTCGGCACCGAGCTGAGGGATGGAAAGAGAAGGAGTTGGGTAGCTGGCGGGGTGAAAAGCGTCGGGGTTTGGCACGCACCTGAGCCGGAGGGTACGATGGGGAGAGCAGCCCGGGGAGGCGTCGCATCCCGCCCGGCCGCTTCCGCACCGGGGTGTTCCCTGGGTTGTGATCCGTAAGGTGGGAGACTGCGGGGGAAATAAAGGGGAGAAAAATAGGAAGGAAAATATCCCCGTTTCTTTATTTTTAGGGGGTTTGCCACCCAGGTTTGCGGGGTTTCCAGCGGTGGCAAAGCAGCTGCAAACAGCTGGAAGGGGGACATGCGTTTCTCCAGGATTTCTTAAAATAAACCACGTTAGTTGGAGGAGCAGGACAGCGCAACAAGGCAAATTAAATTAATCAAGCCTTTCTTTTTTTTTTTATTTTCTTTATTTGTCTTTTTTTTTTTTCAGCATGGGGTTTTGGA